GGGCGTGTTGTGTAATGGCTGAGGTAACCAAAGTGGGCCACACTCGCTTCCGAAACCATCCCGCCAGGGACTGGGGGGATGGGGGGGTGGGGAGAGAGCGCTCTCGCGCCGCGCTGCCCTGTGACTCATTGTCGCCGCTTCCGATCACAGGATCCTTGGCTAAAAGAGATGCGCCCCCGGCACCCGCAGCCCTTGTCCTCGCCTCGCACCCCTGCCCCGAGAGACAGTCCTGCAGTCAAAGGGGACCCCTTGAGTTGGCTCAAGAAGAGCGCTCACCCCTGCGCCACCGGGGGAAGCCTGGAGAGGACTGGGTGGCTTGGTGGCTGCCAAGACAGTCCCAGGCTCAGGGCTGGGCTCTGGGTGCTGTAGCCGCGGTCAGGGCCAGGCGCCCTCCTTCAGGCCAGCCGGGAAGTGGCGGCCGAACCTGGGGGCCTGAGGCCAGGAGCTTGGCATCTGGTGCAGCAGGCCAGCAAGCCGCCTGTGGTGGAGCTGGGCAAATGGGGCTCAGGGATCCTAGAGGAGCCCAGGGAGGTGGGAATGGGCGGGGAGGCTTCATGTGTTGAATTTCCCCAGCATGCAACTGACAACTTAGGAGACAAGAAAGCTGTATGGAGGGAGACAGGCTACCCTCACCCTCTTACTGTGCCCAGGCAGGGCCTTCTGAGAATGGCCGTGGAAGAGAAGGGACAGAATATACCTGTCAACTTTTTGCTCACATCTTGTGATTGGGAGCTGTCCAGTAGCTTTTGCCTCATAGCGACCCCTCCCCTCCCCTTTAACAGAGTATAACTGCCCCATAGGGTTTTCCTAGCTGTGGTCTTGGTGGAGCAGATCTTTCTCCTGCGAAACTGCTGGCTGAACTCCGACCACTAACCTGTTGGGTAGTAGCTGAGCGCTTAACTGTTTGCATCACCAAGGCTTCTTTACTAATATCCGAAGAGGAAATAACTGGTATTCATACAAGCACCCCCCCACCAATTAAAATAAAATAATTCTGCTGCTACAGCAGAAGCAGGAGCCCAGCCCTTAAAGAAAAGCAGGAAAATATGAATGGACTTGATTGAAACTACCTGATAATCCCAAGGAAGGTTCCTTTCCTTTCTGCCAATCTCCACCCACCACCCAATCCCCAGAGCCAGGGAAGCCCTCTCTTCCCTCCTCCTCTGTTGCTGCCATCACTTTGCCCTGGAAATCCTTTCTTTCAACTTTGCTAGCCCCTCCAAAACAGCGTGGAAATGTTGAGACAAGCTTCTCCCTTTTAAGAACAAAGGGGCCTTCTCCTCAGCAGAGTCTCTTTGTACTGAAACGTGGCCAGCATCTTCTCTTCTGTCTTCCAGGCACTGCATCTCCCTTTCGGATAAAGGACCTCATCCCCCACCCCAGCTTAAAAGTGTCACAATCTAGCCAGTTAGCTGTGTGTCCTTTGCTGTGTTTCATCTTCCTCATCAGTGGTTCAGTGTTGGTGGGACCCAGAAGTGAAGGGCCCTGTTTTGTTCTCGTCTTCTTCCCAGATTTCCGATCTACACGCATCCACATTTGGTCATTGGTGGTGAGAGGCAGGATCCTGGCCAGTGTGCATTTCCATTCTCTTTGGGGAAATGTTACATATACCGAGCGTTGGAGGCACAGATGCTGCTAATGTGACCAGTCAACATACCCACAAGACTCAGGTGGTCTTGTCCTGGTGGCTGGGACAGGGTTACATCTGGCCATTTTCCTTCCCCCTCCTTCCTAGCCAGTTTTCTTGTAGGCGGGTGCCAGGCCGTGAGTGGCCATGAATCAGAGTGAGACAGGGTTTCCTCCGTGTCTTTAAGGAACCAGTGACACCTCGGGCCCTCTAAGGGACTGCTTGGGGTGGAGGTGGTGACAAAAAAAATTACTTGTTCGAAGTTGTGGAAGCTCAGACCCAAAGTGGCGGAGTGTGTGATATGTAGGGCAATCGTGGAGTTGGCAATTGAACCTAACCCTTGGGATGCCCAGTGGACAAGTTCTAAGTAACTTGCCATTTACTCAGCACCCGTCCTTACACAAGACTCATCGCCTGCTTGTGCTGGGGGTCATTCATGAGAGGAATTTTTTTCTCCTTTTGGCAGCTCCAAACGATCACTTGTTGTACAGCAACCGGTCTCAAATTTACTTTACCTTGGCGTCTCATGAGGATGCACTACATGATGCAGAGATAGCATGTAAGCTCCGCCCCACGGGTTTTAAGGTAAGTGTGGGAAGGGGTTGTACCTTAGCTGGGAATTGGCAGGAAGGGCCTCCCTCCCTGGGATGGGGTGCTCCAGCGCACTAGTAGCCGAGCAGGGAAAAGGCTAGGCATCTCCCAGGATGCAAAGTGTCACTTTTCATGTCTCTTCCCGATCGATCTCAGAACTGGCCCTCACCCACATGTCAAATGTTTTGTAAAGAAGACTAGCTAGACAAACTATCCAGAGATACTCTCTGAACTTCAAGTATCCTTGTTAACAAAATGAGGCTATTGCTGTGTTCCCTGAGCACCTCACAGGTTTACAGTAAGGGTTAAAGGGAGCTGGCCAAGAGGAAAGTATTCCACAAGCTATAAGGCTTTCTGGATATCTGGGGTAATGTTCTTTCTACACAATCTCAGAATGCCTCCCTTGGAAAACTAACTTATCCAGGACAGGTCCACCATCCCTTTTCTGATTCACTTGGAGCTAGATGTATTTCAGAATCCTGACTATTTCAGATGTTAGAAAGATCAATTATTTAAATCACACACCCAGTAACTGCTGGAAAGCACCCTGTAATTAAGTACACCACACTTCACTTATTCACATGATTAGGTTATGAAGATCAGATCATTCTGGGAGAATTGGGGTTACTGTGAAAATGGAGGAAGGTTGTATCAGATCACAAAATGGAGGATGATGGCATCATGACACAACTGCCAAATTACATCATTGCACAACCGCGAAGAAACGTAGCCCAACAAGTTGCCACAAAATTTTAACCCTCCCAGCCAGTGTAGTGCTCCCTTTGCACCTCAGCGATCGTTACTGCCAGGTAGTCATGTCAGCACACAAAATGGTCAATAAGTAGACGTTTTCCTCTCATGGAAAATAGAAAATGTTGGATAGCAAGATCATTGATATGGGAGGAGACGTTTTTGTCAGCAACTCACATGAAAAGGCACACTAAGTAAAATAATTTACTGTAAAATATTTTACATCCGTTTAAGTCAAGTTTATGAAAATACCAGGTTATCAGAATCTTGGGATTCGGGAACTTTACATGATGCATGGGGAAGCTGAATGCTCTGGTGTTAATGCCAGGGTGACGCTCGACGATTCTTTCATGAGGTAGTTTGTCATGAGTGATGATGCATTCATGCCCCCTCTTTACCAAGGAACATGTTTACAGTTTAATAAATGATCTCCATGGCTTAAGTCAAAAGGGCTTCAATGGGGGCATTTCGGGCCTTGTAGTATGTCAGTCAGGGATGGCGGGGGTGGGGGGGGGAGCAGAAAGGACTTCTCTCTGCAACTTCTGCATCTACTATATGCCTAAAGGTGAGGACCCTCATGAGATGGGAAGCAGGCTGAGCACCAAGGAACCATTTGGTGAAATGAGTAGAGTGACTTCCTCAGAGAAGGAAGGGTGGGTGAAAGGAAGTATTAACCAGGAGTTTCATTTCCTCCCTCAGTGCTGGGATAAGGGGGAGTCTTGGGGGTAGGAATTAGAGAACTCAATATTCATTGAGATTAAGAGAAGATGTAAGCAGATGCGTATAATGTTTCATCATCTTTTTAAAAAATCATTTTATTGGGGGCTCATACAACTTTTATCACAATACATACATGCATCCATTGTCTGAAGCACATTTGTACATATGTTGCCATCATAATTTTCAAAGCATTTTCTTTCTATTTGAGCCCTTGGTATCAGCTCCTCATTTTTCCCTTCCCTCTCTCCCTCCCTCCCTCTCTCTCTCCCTCCCTCTCTCATGAACCCTTGATAATTTACAAATCATTGTTATTTCTTCATGTTTTGCACTGTCTGATGTCTCCCTTTACCCCCTTGTCCATTATCCATCCCCCTTGGAGGGGGTTATAGGTAGGTCTTTGTGATTGTTTCCCCCTTTCTCCCCACACCTTCCCCTTCCCCTTCCCCTCCTGGTGTGGCTACTCTCAATATTGGTCCTGAGGAGTTCATCTGTCCTGGATTCCCTGTTTCCAGCTCTTAACTGTACCCATGTACATGCTCTGGTCTAGCCAGATTTGTAAGGTAGAATTAGGGTCATGCTAATGTGGGGGGGGGCATTAAAGAACCAGAGGAAAGCTGTATGTTTCATCGATGCTATATTGCACCCTGACAGGCCCGTATTCTCCCCATGACCCTTCTGTGATTTACATTATCTCCTGCTCTTTCTATGAAAAATGTCCCAGTGGGAGGATTTTACCTCACAGCCCTGTTTCAGCCCCTGGGATGTAGAGTTCTCAAGAGGGGTGAGTTGGCAAGTAGAATGTATGGTATAATTAGTGGGGTCCCAGAGGCCTCACAAGGCTCCCAGTGCATGTTCCTCTGATTGTCCAGAGATGTCACTTCAGTCTGGTCTTCAGAACCCCAAACCTAGACCCACGGCTGTCAATCTCGACTCGTAGCAACCCTCTAGGACAGAGTAGAACTACCCTACAGGGTTTCCAAAGCAGTAAATCTTTATGGAAGCAGACTACCACATCTCTCGTCCAGGGAGGAGCTGGTGGGTTTGAACTGCCAACCTTTCAACTAGCAGCCAACTGCTTTAACCACTGCACCTCCAGTGTACCTTATTGCCAGCAAGCTTCTGATAAACACTGCTGTAAAAAGCAACAAGAGAAGTCTTTTGTACTCATGTATGTCAAGATTAAACTCCAAAGGATGATTGAGGACACAGGGAGTGGTCCCCAACCAGTGTAGGGTAGTCACTCATTGTGCCCCAATGCAGTTCTGGGCCAGTGTCTGTGGCCAGGCCTAAGGGTACTGCCGTGTGCAGAGGCATATTATGAGGCTCAGCAGTAGCAAACTAGTCTATTTTGTCCACTTTGTTAGAGTTAGGGGCAGCAAGAAGGATCCCTGGTGATGTAAGGTACATGTAAGGTCAGCAGTTCAAACACTCTGCCACTCCACAAGGCAAAGAGGAGTCTTTCTGCTCCCCCACTCCCCACCCCATAAAGATTTGCCACCTCAGAAACCCACAGGGAAGTTATACTCTGTCCTATGGATGGGAACCAACTTGGTTTTAGAGAGGAAAGGAATGGGAGCAGGCAACTGAGGGGCAACCTGATTTGAGAAAAGCCAAGTTGCAAGTGGTATGGGTCCCCTAGCACAAAGAGAGGGCATCCCGCTCCCCTCCTCCTCTTCCTCTTCCTCCCTCTGTCCCACAATGTTCTTCTACTGTCTCTAGAGTTTCTCTTTCAGGGCAGTTGGCTGCCCTTCAGTTGCCTGCTCTCATTCGCTTGCCTTTCTCAAAAACAAAAACCTCACTACCATCGAGTTGTTTCTGCGTCATGGGATGTAGTGAAGGAGCAGGGATGAGCTGAGCCCCTAGAGCGAAGCTATCTGCTCCCCTCCCTGCTTAGCTCTGGGTGGGGGAAGAACAGTCTGGAAATCCTAAAAGGGCAGTTTGGGGGCCAGGTTTACTGCTAACTACCTTTGAGGTCTTAGAGAGATTTCACCCTCTCTTTGGGGCCTCTTCTGAAAAACGATCAGTCAGTAAATATAGATGGTCGCCAAAGCCACTACCATGGTCTAGATCTCTGCTTAGCAAACCAGCTTTCAGGAAGGTCTTTCTACAGGCAGGTCCTGAAAGCTGCTTAGTATGTGGTCACATGGGGGCTCTTGAAGCATGTGGCGATACTTCTCATATAGCAGGGATGTAAGGAGTAGTAGGGTACTACGGCCAAGAATATGAGCTTTGGTATCGGTCACTCCTCAGTTCAAATCCAGATTCCCCAATTGTCTAGCTGTGTATCTTTGGACAAGTCCCTTTTCTGGGTTTTCATGTTGTCATCTCTGAAATGGGATTCAGAATGTGAAAAGGCCGTAGCTCTCCACAGTAGTTATCTACAAGTAGCAATAGTAGCAGCAATGTTAATAAAAATGACTAAGAGGAGGATTGAATGCCAGTGTTTCCTTCCAGCCACACTTCCGGAAAGCCCAAGCCTTAGCCACCCTAGGCAAGGTGGAGGAAGCACTGAAGGAGTTTCTATATTGTGTCTCTCTCGATGGAAATAATAAGAAAGCAAGATCCGAAGCCCAAAGGGTGAGTTGAAACAACATTAAAGTCCAACTACCCATCTCTTTGTCTTCTCCAGGGAGGGGAGAGAGGATACTTGACCCCCGAGCACTTAGGGCATGAGTTGGGGGGAACTCCCTGGGTTAAGAGAACAAGAGGGAGGGACGGACGAGTGTCAGTTGGTTTCCCCAAAAAACAGCCTCCTCCTGAGAAGTACAATTAGACTGCATTTTTGTAGGGCCTGTGAGGAATATTCTGGCTTCTTTGAGTCAGGGTCTTATGTTAGTAAGGTTGTCACCTTAGTAAGATTCCAAATCAGACGAAACCACCACTTCCCATGGGATTTGAGGTTTACCAGGGAGATTCTGGCTGGAGTGTGAGGCTGCTGGATGTTGTAGTTGTGTTTGATTTCTTGTTTCATTTTGCTTTTAAGGTAAAACCTCATAAGCCAAACAGGGGAAGCCAGCTCATGTGAAAACTTGGGCTTCCATTTCGCCTGCTTACACACAATTCTAGCCTGCGGAACTTCGTTGCTCAAAAAAATGCAGGCATCACTTGGTTCCAGACCACCACAACAAAGCAACGATCAAAATAGAGCCAGTCATATGAATGGTTGGGTTCCCCAGTGCATCAAGAAGCGAGGTTTCCATGATCACTATAGGCTATTAAGTGGGCAATTGCATTATGAAAACATTTGAAATTGCCTGAGGCTGACCAAACTGTGGCCCCGAGGCATGAAGTGAGCCCCTACTCTGTTGGAAGAATGACGCAAGGAGGCTTGCTTGCCACAGCCTTCAACTGGTAAAATAATGCAATGTCCGTGAAGCCTAATAAAGCGAGGTAGGCCCGCAAAACATACACACTGCCGCCCAAATGCTGGTCAGGGACTTTTACAACAGACTCCAAACAGCCCTTCCAACTCGTGTCCCAGTGAAATGTGGTTGTCATGAAAAAGAAAAGTCACTTGAAGAATTAACAGCATTAGTAAAGGCTAGAGGACCCTCAATTCCGGACTTTTGTTTACTCTTTTGCAATGGATTCTCATGGCGTCCAGCTAGCTGGCCAGCCAATCAGGAGTCGTTTTCTCCTTAAGCCCTCCCCTCTCACTCCCACCCCTCAGGCACTCCTATCCCAGTGTGGTTTGGCAGAGCAGTGGATGAAGAACCCGAGCAAGAGACTTTTGAAGGCTCCAGAAAGGAATTTTTGGCAAAAGCAATAGACTGGGGGAAGCTGGGCTCTGGACTGTCTGCGTCTCACTGAGGTTTCGGTTTTGTTTTTTGTTTCTGGGAAGTTGCATTGGCCAAGTGCTTCCCACCGCCCCTTCCTCGCAGAGAATTTGCCTTTCTGCCCCCCATACCTGCAGCCATCAAGTTGAGTTGATTTCCATTTTCAGCGACCCTAAAGGACAGGGTAGAACTGCCCCTTTGGGTTTCCAAGGCTGTAAACCTTGACAGGAGCAGGAAGCCTCACCTCTCTTCTGAGGAACTGATGGTGGGTTCCAGGTGCTGACTTTGTAGTTAAGAGCACAACATGTAACCACTACCTGACCAGGGCACCTTTCCCTCTGAGGTATGCACTGTGATTTACCCACCATGTTGCAGATGAGGAAGCTAAGGTTTGGTGACTGCCCCAGTCACAAGAAAACAGCAACAACTCTGCCGAATATCAAAGCATCCTTGCCCTTCCAGGTGGGCATATCCGGAGTCTCAGCACTAATTGGGGCTGGACTTGGAGTAGCAGTAGCAGTAGCAGTGGAAGACTGGGCTTTCTACTCCCGTGAACAATCTCAGCAACCCGCATGGGGTCACTATGAGTCAGCATTGGCTTGATGGCAGTGAGTCCGGTTTGGTTTGGAGGGTGGAAAAGATAGCAGAACCATTGAGTTTGGGGACAATGTGCAAGAGGAAGGGCTCGGGCTTGGGCTTGGGCTCAGGAGCGAATGTTTTCTTTAGACCTGCTTGCTTATTTCCCAGTTGGCCTGAGAGAGATTCTAGTTTTAGCAGTTCGGTTTCCCTCTCTTCTCAGCTCACCTTGACAGACCAGCTGGTGTCATTTCCACAACTGTTTCGAGAATGCAGCAATGCAGCAAATGGGTGCTCAGTGCTGGAGACCCAGGAAGGCATAAGGCCCCTGGGGAACTTGTGCTCTTGTGATTTTTAATACACGTGCCAGTTCATACGAGCAAGTAGATGCCAGGACGGGTGTTACTGTTTCTGAGCTCAAGATGAGCATTGACTCACTTTGAGTGCAACCATGTCGTGGCAGCCATTGGAGAGAACACGGATGGCCCTCGGCTGTGCTTCCTTACTGGCTTGGTCCAGTTTAAGGCCGACAGTTGTGACAGAAATGGTTCAGGTTTCTTTAGAATGTGTTTTGACCTCAGCTTCCTCCACCCCCTTTCTTGACCCATTCGAACTTTTTCTCAGACTGACATTGAAATGAAATTGATTTTCATTCATGTGAACATGTGTCACTGAGAATTGACCCCATCGTGTTTCCTAAAGCCTTTGAGCAAGATAATTAGGCTGAGGTGGAGCGCTGGTCGTGTAGTGGGTTACACAAGGACAGCAGTTCAGACGCACAGTCGCTCTGTGGAAGAAAAATGGGGCTTTCTACTCAGGTAAAGATTTATAGCCTCAGAAACCCACAGTCAGCTCTATTCTTTCCCAGAGGGTCGCTGTGAGTTGGAGCGGACTCGATGGCAGGGAGTTGGGATTTGGAAATTTCGAAAGGGAAGTGGCACTGTTGTTTCTGCCTTGCTTCCTCTGATTTCTCCCCTCTGCCTCCTTTTCCCTCCCACTCCACACTCCCCTTTGATCCTTGTACCCCGGGATGCCATGTGACAGTGATTGACAGACCTCACACTCTGGAAGAATTCCAGAGGCAGCTTCCAAAGTGGGTCCGTTCTTTTGAGTGTTTCTGAGGGCCATCTTTGGCCCCTCTGGAAGGGAGAATCTCTGAAAAAGTGGCAGATTTCTGGCATCGGGACAGTGAGTACTTCTCCACCTTCCTCCCTTGCCAACTTGTGACAGCGACTTCTCACTCTCAGGGCTGCTGGGAACCAGGATTTGTTTGAGGGCTTGGGGCCTAAAAGCTTGTCTCCCCTTGGGCCCTGGGGTGAAGAATTGTTTTAATTCAATCCCATTCAATATGATGTCTTTATTGAGCATCTGTGCTATGCCCTCCAGAAGCCTGCCTGCCAACTGGTTGGGGAGAAAGACTTACATCTATGATGCTATTTGAAGACAATGCAAGGCTGAACAGTTTAAACTTATGATTCACTAGAGAACAGGAATAGAAAGGAGAGGTCAGGAAGCATGGAGCAGTAAGGACAGGCAGCACTGGAGCTGACCCTATACGGCTGAATTGGGTAAGAAACATGAAGGAGCTACTAGGAGCCAGCAAGCGAACACATCAAACTGGAGTGAGAGTTTGATGTCCTGTGGAATTCCCCATCCTTTAATGAGTCTCCAAACACTACAGAAGGTTGTTTACAAAGCCAAATGACCTGTCCTCCTGTATAATACTATATACCTAGGAGCCCTGGTGGCAGTTGGAAACCAGCAGCCACTTCAAGGGAGAAAGATGATGCATTCTACTCCTGTGAACAATTACAGTCTGGGAAACCCCACAGGGACAGTTTTACCCTGACCTATAGTGTCGCTGCGTGTTGGAAAGCACTTGATAGCAGGAAGTTTGGTTTGGGACAGTCATAATACATGCTGGCCTAAGGGAGAGGTAAAGCAAGGTTATAGTGAGTTGAACGTACCGCCTGCACGAGGGAACACATCGCTGATTCCCAGCCCCGTCTGGTGCTTCTCACTCAGTGGCCAGCTTTTCCCATTGCAGGGGGAACTAGCAGTAGCTGGGCCCTGCCTGTCCACCATCTGCCCCAGCACTTGTACTTTACACTTGTACTTTACCTGACAGTCTCTGGACAGTGAAGACCAGAATTGGGGAGGAGAGGCCCACTTTTTAAAAAAATGTATTTATTGTATATTTTATAGACTCAATTAAGTAAAAAGAGAAAAAAGCATCTTTCTATTCTAAAAAGACAAAGAAAATGGATGTAAACAGTAAAGCATGCTCACCAATTGGAGATATTTGCAGCAAAAGAAGTCTCATAGGTAAATGTACTCCCAAACCAACATAACTGATTCCTCCTTGATGAAATTAAAAAGACAACTAGCCCTGATGCAATTTAGTTAATAGATGTGTCTGGATATGTCCACATTCATTTATGATGTGATAAACTGCTCTTGAGTTAGCTCTCAATTGTCGGCGACCCAATACTCCATAGAAACATTTCTACCTGGTCCTGTGTCATCCCCGTAATCATCTGTGGATCAAATCACTGTGATCCATAGGGTTACCACTGCCTGGTTTTAAAGTAGTAGCTTGCCAGGCCTTTCTTCTTAATCTGTTAGGCCCCACCTCCAAAGAGATTAACGATCCAGGGGTGATGGGGTCGGGGCTGGGGGGCAGGGGAAGTGGTACAAAAGGCAAAATGGGTCAGCAGAACAAAGGAACCAGAAGACACTTAGACTTGTACCCAATGGGGTATTATGGTCCTGACTCCAGGTCCTCCAACTGGTGTCTCCTGATTTCATCAGTCTCTGGTCTCCCAAATGGGTTTAAAAATCCCACTGTAGAGCTTTATAATACCAGAGTGGTGGTGCTTCTTAACTTTGGCTTGGTAACAAGCATCCATGGTGCTTTTGACAAATCCAGATTCCTGGTGTCACTGGGGAGGGTAGTGGGAACCAGGAATCTGGGTTGTTTATAAACTCCCACAGGTGAGTATGATGCACACTGAAACGTGGGCCCTTCTGTCCTGCTGTGGCCAGGCTGTGGTCTAAGTCCTCCCCTCTGGCATTTTGCCTTGTAAGCTTTGCTCCCTGCCCTTTACTTCCCCTCCCCTACCCCCTCACCTGAGCCCTTGTAGAAACTTAAGTAGTGAAGTGTTCTGTTTTATGTCACAGCTTCTCTTTAGTTTCTTTGCATCAGTCACGGGGAAGTCTCAGGAAAATATTCCCGATATCCTGAAGCTGTTGGCATCTCACCCTAGATTTCAGGAACACGTAGAGCCAATGGTTACCGAAGGCACCAGCCATAATCTACCAAAGTTGTCACAGGTAAAGCTCAACTCACTTGGCTCGTTCGTGGTGCTTGGGCTGTTTTGTGGGCAAACACGGGGAGTGATTCCCAAACCCCCCTCCTCCAGGTCACTGTCGGTAGGTATGCTTTGTGAAGAAGGTTCTGGCTTATAGTTAAAGCAGACTTTCAGGCATGACCCTAGGGTTGGTTTATTGATTTATTTTTCTTTTTAAAACTCTCGGCCAGCTTCTGCCCAGAAATAACTAGAAAGGTATTGGCCCACTTCCTCTACTTTCCCTGGAAGCCCTTCAACTGGAGTAAGTTCCCCCTCCCATCTGAAGGGCAGAGCCTGGGAAGAGGGCCTGGCCGCTCTCCCCCTTGCCTGCTTCTTGTGTTCGTCCAGGCTGCTGGCATCAGCGGAGAGCCTTGTTCAAAGACAGCTCCGTTTGATTCCCAAGTGGAAGTAATTTGATCTTTCCACACTCAGCCTTACACAAGAGTAGGTTCCCAGTACATATTTGTAGCTGAGGAGAGAGAAAGGGGTGATGGTGGGTAGAAGTTCCCAGGAGGAAGACGGCTGCTTGTGCCTGTCTTTGAAGTGAGGTGGCCCTTGCTTTGGCCACAGAGGGTATGTGGGCTGGAACTTGGCGTCCCGTGTCCAGCTATGAAGGTGGTGTTTAGTGCTGAGTACGTGTCCACCTCTGAGGTACAGTTTCCCCTCCATTTGTTCCCTATGTCCTGTCCCTATTACTAAGCCCAGGGCTTTCAGTGAATTCTTGGGTGCACCAGGAGGTGGAAAGTTTACATTCTCCTAGCTTCTCTCCCTTGTTCAATTTAAAAAGGGAAGAACACAAAAGGCCAATCTCTATCTCCTGCAATCAGGAAAACCCTTGTGAACTATTTCAATGATTGATTGTGAGTGCTATTACATGATTGGGAAAGCTAATCCTCAACTGAAGGGTCTTGAGTAACTTTTAACTGCAGCTCAATCTGAACTGAAGACCACCAGCACTCCTGGCGTTCCAGTAAGGGTCCTGCCTGGGTGGTACCCAATGTGAACCTGCTTGGCTGCCAGCCAAAAGGTTGGAGGTTTGAGTCCGCCCAGAGGTACTTTTTGAAGAAAGGCCTGGTGACCTTCAAAACAAGGAGCCATCGACTCGGAGGCACAGTTCTGTTCTCACACACATATGGTGGCCACGAGTCAGAACCCACTTGATGGTAGTTAGTTGGTGGTTTTTTTTTTTTGTTCTTGCATTCCAGTGGCACAGTGAATTACGCATTGGGCTGCTAACCACAAGGTCAGCTGTTCAAAACCACCAGAGGATCCATGGGAGAAAGATGAGGCTTTCTAGTCTCATAAAGATGTATAGTCTCAGAAACCACAGGGACAGTTCTACTGTATCCTTGTGGGGGACCAGCCCCCACGACTGAATGGGTCCTAAGAGGTGGTTATGTAATTGAAGGGGAAATTCAAGAAACATCAGACAAACAAACATGCAAGGGCTCATCTCTTCCATGGAGACTGAAACCAGAGAGAGTAGGTGAATGTATTATTCTCTCACAAGCTTATATAATCTCAGGGAATGCAAACCACCGCATGCATGTAAGAGGAACAGGATGTGCTAAGGGCATACATGTAACAGGAAGAGGAGGCACTAGAGGCATACAGGAAGGTGCATGTGTAACAAAGTGGGTGGTTCTAGAGTTAAGATGGTGGCTTAACTTTGGCTATCCCTGAGCTGGCTTGACTTTAGGTGTCCTGAGCTCTTCCCCAGGGGAATAATCTATGATCCTTATCAGAAGGGAGTTGGCTGTCTAGGATGGGATGGGTAATAGGCTGTGATAGCTTCTGAGCATACGTTCTAGAGATTAGCCATGTGCTTAACAGGAACATGTTAAGTTGGCATTATTATAGGGGGGGTTGTGGGGATGATTTTTAGTCGGGAGAATGTGACTGGGATTCATCTCCAACTCACGAATGTGAGGGCCTTCGTCCACCAAAGTCTGCCTCCCAGACTCCTAATTCTGAGCATAGAGAATTTGTCCACATACACTCTTTTCCCGGTTCTCAGTTTCCCACATATCCTAAAGGGACAGGAATGGACTGAAGGGCAGTGAGGTTGGTTTTCCATACAAAGCTTGCATGACTCAACACCTGCCTAGTGACACATGTGGACTCTTGGTAGTGTAGTGGGTTATGTGCTGGACTGCTAACCACAAAGTCAGCAGTTCAAAACTGCCAGGCGCTCCACAGGAAAAACAGGAAGCTTTCTACTTTCATAAACATTTATCACCTTAGAAATCCTCAGGGCCAGTTCTACCCTGTCCTATAGTCTCACTATGAGTTGGCATTGACCTGATGGCAGGGAGTGAATGTGAGTTAAGCTAGAGAACAAGGAATGACTGTCCATCCAAATTCTGCTCTCCAAAGCGGGGTACTCCTGTGTGGACAACTCCTTAGGCTCCGGGAATGCTGAGGCTCCAGTAGTGCTGTGGTTGTTGGGTGCCTGCCAGCAAGTAGATTTCAGCACCGAGCCATCCCATGTGACCCAGTAAAACTGCCTCATTGGGGTTTTCATGGTCGTCATCTCCGCAGGAGCAAGTCATCAGGTCTTCGGGGTGCAGAGCCTCTGGGAGGGTTCAAAAAGCCAACCTTTGTGTTTGCAGCCAAGCACTAAACAGTGTACCACTGGGCTCCTAGTATTGCTATAATGCTGGGAACAACCCTGAACTCCACAGTTTAGAGACTTAGAAAACCTATAATTTTTCCCCTCACCAAATAATTTCCCCTTAGCTCTATGTTCCCCAGTTTCATCTACCTAGAAGTTCTTCCCCTACTCTCCAACCCCTTTTTTGTAAGGGCTGAGGAAAACAAGAACATGAACAGTTTGACCTGGAGATTGTAGATTTAGAATAGAAAGGGGTTTAACCCACTAAATAACGCTGTCACTGTATTTCTTTCTAGACCCATTTTTCAAATGCCTCTTTCTTGAGTCAAAATTCATTAAAAGGCTAGAGAGATGATTGACTGTTGAGTCTTTCTTTCAGGCTTTTCACTTAAAATCTAGTGAAAGGAATTGTTTGATCTTAGTGCAATTTGCAAGCACAAGTCGGGCTGCTAACCACAAGGTCAGCTATTGGGAACCACCAGGGCACTCCTCGGGAAAAAGACAAGATTTTCTACTCCCATAAAAGAGTGACCGTCTCTAAAACCCACAGGGGCAGCTCCACCCTGTCCCATAGGGTTGCTATGAGTTGCAATCAAGAGCAAACCTGCCCCAAAGGCTCACCAAACATTTTTGAGCGGTGGGGGGCTGGGGTTTGGAACTTGAAGCTGGTCTGATTTCTCTAAAATGGTAACTGGGGAATCCCTTCCCCTGCCTCTCCCCCAAACCGCCTTTATATCTTTGCCTTGGGAAGTTTCCCACCTCCTCCCAAGTTGGGAATGCCCTTGCCACAGATGCTTCATGGACAGGAAATGGACAGTATGCCTCCTGACTGCCTTGGCTTAGCGTGCCCACTAATGATCAGGGGTGGGGATCAGGGCTGTGCAGTTATTCTCTTTGTCCCCAGCGGGTAGGAATGTCACTGAACAATATAAGTCCGAAGTAGATTCTGATGTTTGCCTCTTCCTTCCTCCAGGAAAACCAGGCGGCACTCCCGCATTGTTCTAGTCAGCAGGAAGCAGCCGCCTGGTCAGCTCAAGCAAAGGTGGACGGGCCATCAGAGGAGCAGGGAGCAGAGACGGAGGCTGCCTCCAGCAAGATGGGGAAATGCCAGCAAAAGAAACGGAAACACTGTCAAACTGAACCCCAAACCCTAGAGGTGCCTAGTAAAGCCTCCAAGCCAGGTACTCAAGATTCCCCAGGGAGAAGGGGAGTAAGGCATTTGCAGGAGAGGCTTGTACTCAATAGTCTCAGGCAAATTCCATCGGGCTCCTTTCAGCCAGTGACCTCAAAGTGTTGCTGGACCTTTCTGGGAGTGAATGCATAATAGTAGGATAGAGACTAGTACCTAGCACATTGTGCGCAATAATAGCAGTTATCACCGGCAGTCAGGGAAGACGGTCCAGCACAGAGTATAATAATGCATGACAGCCTATGCTCTTGGCAGGGTCACTTCCTTCCAAGCCAACCTCCCATCTCCAACCAGGCCAGTGTGATCGGCTCACTCCCAGTTGTGTTCCCATAGGTACACCTCTAAGAAGCCGCAGCTGCAGTTTAATAACTTTCCAAGAGATGTTGGCAGCGCTAAGGTTCCGTCGCAACTTTGAAGGCCTGGCTCAATTGCTACTGCTGCTGCTTGAGCCAGTGGGTGTCTGTTGCCTTGGAATGAAGTCCCAGGGGGCTCTTGGGCATTCCCTGACTCGCATCTCTCTCTCTCTCTCACTCTCTCTGGAATGCCCTAGGCAGCTAGAACCCCGTAAGTGCCTGCTTCAGGGTATCCCCTTCTCGATGGCACAGGTGGCCACCAAATCACCTCTCTGGGAGGTGGCTAGAGGGACAAACAGGAAAGATAATAATAAATTATGATAAGGTGGTCTTCTTTGGCTCAGAAGTATTGTCGGTGAAACCAAGGTTGGTCTAAGCTCTGACTTGCTGCTTTCTAAATCACAGATCCTCCCACTGATCAGGGGGCCAAACCTGCTCTCAATATCCCATTGGTCTCTTTTGACGCATCTGACCTTGAATGCTCACTATGTATGAGGTACGTGCTATGTGCTCTCACTTACTGCCTGATGTTTCTTCCTCTGTTGTCTGCATTGTTCTGCTCAGGACCCATCTGCCCGGTTGGTTAACATGTGAAAGTCTGATTCTAATGACACGGGAAAGCACACCACTGATTGGCACACGGGCTAGTTAGCATTTCTGACTTTAAAAATATGATCCCAGTTGGAAGGAAGTAGTCTACTCCCGAGGCTGCAAATTGTGAGCCCACAGGCTGGACATCATCTTCGATTAACCCTCATGGCTTTTCCTAGTTCAGTATGAAATCTTGAGGCAAGGCATGTGCTCTCTAGTTGGCCGTGGCCCCCAGCACCTCCCACTGCCTTATACTAGCCTGTGTCTCACATTTGCCTGGCTTCTGTCATTATTTAAGCTATGACCCTGGACTTAATCTCCATGGACGTACTGGATGAAAAATTCAGAGCTTAAGGGATCATGCCAGTGCCCTAGGCCTGTTACAGTCTCTGCCACAGTTTTCTCATAAGGACATCTAAACACAATAAGGACATCTAAACACAAAGGTTATGATGACTGAGCAAGTCTAAAGCACTTAGAATAGCACCTGCCATCCAGTAAATCTTCAGTAAATGCCAACTCTTTTCCCCACTAGGTCAGAGGTCTTCAACTTTAGGTCCCTGGGACCTTGAGGGGCGTTCTCTAATCTAATTTATAGATTATCTACTTAATCTAGTGGATTACAAATTCCCTGACGTTTATGTTCTATGTGAAAGTGTGTATGTGCAGATGTGGATGTTGCCAGGAAAAGCTCTACAGCTTTCAGTACACCTCAAACAGGTCTGTTTTTCAAGAGCACATTCAAAGGGTGCTGAAGTATTGGTATAAAAGTTGCTAAGAAAATGCAAGAAAGGCGGCGTCAAGAAAGGCCTTGGGTCCCATGACCAGTGGGATCTAGCCAACCAGTTCCTCAGATAGACGTTCCTGCCCTTGCCCAGCACACATGTGTGTCCTCTCAATCACACACATGTGTATTCTGAACGACTTATCTTGTTGCGCAGTTGCGAATGAATAAGGATGTGATTTCCTGTGGGTCCAGTTACCCATGGTTCATTTCAGGCTGAAAACATTCCATGGAGAATTCCAGAGATGAGTCATGATGTTGTTAGGTGCCATCAAGTCGGTTCCGACTTCACAGCGACCCACTGTACAATAGAAATGCTGCCTGGTCCTGCGACAGCCTCACAGTTATGCTTGAACCCCTCAAAGCAGCCACTGTGTCCGTATATCTTGTTGAGGGCCTTCGTTTTTGCTGCCCCTCTACTTTGCCAAGCATGATGTCCTTTTCCATGGACTGGTCTCTCCTGAGAACCTGTCCAAAATATAGGTGACTTTGTCACATAAGTAAAAGAAAGTCATATAAGTCTTAAATCCCATGCCATTCTGGGGAGTGTGGTGCGCTCTCAGCCCTGCCCCAAATGAGAATCAGTTATACCCACTCTATGTAACATTACCAGCCCCCTTCACTCAGCAGCCGTCTCAGTTAGCAGCTCGACTGTTGAGTTAGCATAGTCTCATGTTTAGGTAATGTTTGTTTTACTTATTCATTACTGTTGTTCATTATCATTCATCTCTTCAAAACCCAATTCAAACTCACTATCATATAGTTGATTCCAACCCATAGCAACCTTGTAGGACAGGGTAGACGTGCCACTGTGGGTTTGTGAGACTTTAACTCTTTACAGAGTAGACAGTTCATCTTTGTCCTGCTAATCTCTTACTGTGCCTACTTTAAAGGAGCCCCGCTGGCATAGTGGGTTAGGCATTGAGCTGTACCCACTCAGTAACCTGAGTACACCAGCTTCTCTGAAAGGAGAAAGATAAGGCTTTTTGCTCCTGTAAAGATTGGCAGTCTCAGAAAACAGTTCTACTGTGTTCAGTAGGGCCACTATGATTTAGAATAGACTCAATTGCAGTGGGGTTAAGTGTTTAATTTATAAACCGTCATAGGCATGTCTATATAGAAAGACAAAAACCTTGTCTATATAGGGTTTGGTACTATCTGTGGTTTCAAGCATCCACTGGATCTAGGAATGTATTCCCTGTGGATAAGGGGAAGGGTTCTATTATCTTTTTTTCCCCTCTTAAAAAAATAAAGTTCTTGGAATAAAGGGCTAGAAAACCAGTCATTAAAAACTGTAACACACAGTTCTATTCAGAGAGACATGAGGTTGTTATGTGACAAAATGGACGAGTTACCAGCTCTTTGTTTTGGTTTTTTTTGCAGGATTGAGGGACCCCTTTTCTTAACAAATTTTCAAATAACTATAAAACTCATATGAAAGTCGCTATGATCTGTTAGGGAAGAATCTTTCAGGCCTCGTCTCCTGTCTTCCTGCAGCCAACCCACTGCCATAGCGTCGATTCTGATTCATAGCCTATCCTGTTCTGTACGCCTCCAACTTCCTTTTCAACCCACAAAAGAACTCCAAAAAGCAATGGACAGTCACGAGTTGAGCAGAGATTGGGCCGTCAAAAAATGTAGGCAAAATAAAAAATAGATTACTCTCTGACATTTTGTAGAATGTCTAGTCTAGGTCTGTAACTGGCTATGATTTCTTGGCGCATAAGCCTAGGCAGATGTTCCGTGTAACAGTTCGTAGAAGGCATGTGGGAGTTCTCAAACAAGCCTGCCCTATGTGGGCCCTTTGTTTAGATGGAGTGAGGTAGAGTGTGATGGGCAGTATAACCTCTTCTCTAGGTGTGACGGGTTACATGTTGGGCTGCTAACCACAAAGTCGGCAGTTTGAAACCACTAGCCACTCTGTGGAAGACAATGGTTTTTACAGTTGTAAAGAGTTACAGTCTCAGAAACCACAGGGCAATTCTACTCTGTCAGATAGGGTCACCATGAGTCATAATCAATTTGATGGCACTGAGGTTGAATTTTTGGTTTGGGTTTTGTTCTGGGCCTTGTTTATGCTCCTCACCTCTTCTAAAGACCACACTACAAAGTGGCAGGTAGGAAGCAAACCAGAACCCGTGTATAGAATAGGGAAGCCCTGCTTTCCAGCAGAGAACTGCGCCTCCCCAGGTACCATCATTGTGACCCAAACCCCAGGATGTGAGCCATGGTCTAGTGGAGTGGGGGGAAGAGTTAGCATTTATTGAGTCGTTACTAGATGACAGGGGTTATTCTATGTGTTTTAAATCAAGTTTTCTCAGTCATCATAACTAATCCATCCAGATACTGTATTTACTCATCTATAAGCCGAGTTTTTCAGCACATTTTTAATGCACTTATTGTGGTAAAATGAGGTGCCTCAGCTTATATTCGGGTCTGCTTATACTAGAGTATGTAGAGTAAGTATTATTCTCTGTTTTCCTTATGAGAAAACAATGGCAGAGACTGTAACTTCCAAACAAACAAAAATTCACAAACTCACTGCTGTTGAGTCAATGCTGACTCAATGGCAACCCTATGGGACAGGGTAGAACTGCCCCTATGGGTTTCTGAGACTGTAACTCTTTACGAGAGTAAAAAGCTACGTCTTTCTCCCTTGGAGTAAATGGTTTCAAACTGCTGATCTTCCAGTTAGTAGCCCAATGCGTAACTTGCTACAGGTTATAAACAGCCAATAAGTGGCCGAACTGGGATTCAAGTGCAAACTTGGAGTAGGTTTGATTGAGCTTTGTCTAAAAATCCAGGTCTTTGCTGTTCTTATCGTCCCCCAACATCCAGGGGGAATGAAATCAAACATGCATTCTCATTCTGGGTGCATTTTTTGAGCAATAGAAATCCTGAGTTTTCAGAGGTTTTCGTTCTCCTGTCTCTGTTTTCTCCCTTTCATCTTATTTGTCCCTGATCTCGACAGGGGGTTTTGGGGAAAGTGGGAACTTTGCTGCAAGAAATAAACACTTAAGAGAATGAGAACCCCTTCTAGCTGCTGGCTTGCCCACTCTCAGAGCTTAAAGCCTATTATTTCCCTTATACTCTCCCCCCACCCCCACCCCACACCCGCTGCCGCCTTTGCCTGGAGTGGCTGTTGCTGTAGACTGGACTCCAGCTGCTTCTGCCATATTGGGAGATCATTTCGGATCTTAGGGCACTGTAATTCATGATTTGAAACATGTAGTTCTTCTAGCAGGATTTTCTCCAAGTTAGAAATCAGATGTTGACAGAGGCTCTTCTTCGCCCGCCTGCTTTAACTTGAATTACGGCAGACTTTGAAACGTATTTTTCTCTCTCACCAGCATAGTCTTTCCCTTTTTTATTATTGTTGGGATTATTAGTTGATTCTATTATTACCTTCATATGTCTCTGGAGGAAGGGGCTACAGCTAAGCATATTCTCCAAAGGTTGGCTTGGTTATGGAAGTAGAAATATGTACCACTTAGAAATTTGCGACTTTCTAAGAAGCCCTGGTGACATAGTGGTTATGCATTGGGCTGCTAACCATATGGTCAGCAGTTTGAAACCACCAGCTGTTCCTCAGGAGAAAGATGGAGCTTTCTACTCCCATAAAGAGTTACAATCTCAGAAATTCACAGGGGGGAAGTTCTACCCTGCCTTAGAGGGCTGTTATGAATGGGCATCAACTAGATGACAGTGAGTTCTTTGAGTCAGGAGCCCCGGTAGCATAGTGGGTTATGTGTTAGTCTGATAACCACAAGGTCAGTAGTTTGAAACCACCAGCTGCTCCGAGGGGGAAAGTTGGGGCTGTCTTCTCCTGAAAGATATATAAACTTGGAAACCCTTATATAGGAGGGTCTTTTGGTGTAGTTTTTTTAAATGGCATTGAGTTTTGTGATGCTACATTTGGTGATAGACAAGGTAGAGTGCAGTTTTATTTATTCTGATTCTAGAGCAAGAATCCCAAGCAGGATATAAATTCCACAGGGAGAAGGGTAGAAAGTGTGACCGGGAAAAGAATTGGAGGGGGCATGCCTGAGGAACTTTACAGTCTCCCTTGATGAACCAGCAGTGCTCCGCTAAGGGAAACCAGCTGCCTTTGCCTCAACCTT